CTGAGAGTCTTGCACTGCCCACCACTGCAAGTGGGGCTGAATTACATCTTTGCTTCTTGGAGAAAGAACTACAGAAGGGATGTGCCAAGACCAGTGGCTGGGGGAGTGGAAGGCATAGCAGTCTTACAAAAAGGAAACCAAAGAGAATTAACAGTTTGATTTGAAAATTAATAAGTTATTTCAGAGCAACTACTGAGTGAACCAGATGGATGACATATTCAGTGAAGGTTGGAAATCAGCAACAAGGACATGGAAAGAAGTTTTTGCCCAGAGTTCTGCTTTAATCTCAGGTCCAGCAAAACCTGTAATTGTCAAAAAGTTTTATATTTGGTAACAGTTTCTCTATTTTAACCCCTTGTGTACCATTAGATGTCCTCATTTGTTCTCATTAACTCCTTTTAATTTTGCTTTTTTTTTTTTAAACTTTGTTTGCAATTTTTTTTGTATCCAGTTCGATTTTATTGCACAGGGACAAATTAAAACTATTGATGAATTGTAAGCTATCTTAGTTCTCAGAGAGAAGCCATACACTAGATGAAAAATAGTTAAAAAATCTGTCATTTGGGCAGTTTGTTCGTTTTTCATCCAGTTAATGGGCACAAATTGAAAATCGGTAGGAATGTTTTTGAGCCAAAAAAATCGAGGGAAAAGTTTGGTAAACTTCTGGTGAGCGGACAATAAATTGAAAGGTTAACGTGTTTCTCGACTTTTAAGAATTGAACTGTTTGCTACTGTGCATATGTGAACCAGAAGCAAAAAAAAATGGACAAAAAACTGATTTGTTTATGTCCATTGAATGATTTATTGTTTGAAATTTGGTCATTACATGATGGCAATATCGTTTGCTCTCATAACCATGTGTTCGTTTTTTTGACTAGTGTATGGCTAGCATTAGTTATCATAACGTAGAGCATACCTGGCTGTGCTTTACCACACTGTCTGAATCCAGGGCTGTGCGTTTGTATCCATGCACGTGGTTACACAAGTACTGGATAATGCCCACATACAGCCACTTCAAGCAAACCACTAAAAAAAAACATTAAACACATACATAGAAATTGATTTACCTTCCAAAATATTTGTACTTCTTTCCATCCATTCCTGAGATTTGTACAGCTTTGTCCTGCAGCACAGTCCTGAGTAGCAGCGGACCTGATCTTTCTCTGCTGCAGTTTCTTCTTTATATACAGGTTCCCTCCCCACCACCACTCTATGTCTGGTCAGTAAAAGGAGAAACAGCACACTGGTGAGCTTGGCTTGCTGTCACTCTACTCTCTCTTCCTATCCTCATGCTCCTTGCATCATTGCACATCTGATTGGCTCCTTGTGCTGGTTCTCCCTCACCATCTCTGAGCTCTGCTGTACAGAACATACAGTAGAATACAAGAGGCTGATACTATGTCAAATTCAGGTACTTGTGCTGAAAAAATAGTGTAGCCATCTGGCAATCCTGGGCAAATCACTGATCATTCCATACCACTGACACACAGTTTTTCTATAAAAAAAAAGCCAATGACCTGCAGACTCTCAGGACATTACCCCCCCCCCCCTTCAATACCATACCTCCTTCCCCATCCCTGCCCCCCACCACAAACTCTTCCTGTATAACCTATGCCTGGCTCCTCTTTCCCTCCATTCCCTATCATTCCCATAGCTTCCATGGCAGATCCTTTTTCCTGTTTACAGTTGAAATGTCATGTCACCTGTACTAAGTTGACCACACAATATTCTGTCTCTTTATCTATATATATTATGATCTGCATTGACTTTGTACATAGTTGTAAAAATTCTTGTAACCACGATGACACTGTCACTTGTACGTACCTATTAAAATACCAATAAAACTATTGAACACAAGAAAAAAATATCAATGTAATAAAGTGGTTGTAAACCTTGGACATGAAATATGAACAAAGCATATCCCCCTATAGTGTGTACTTGTCTCAGTTAAGAGCACTGTGTCACTTTTGTCTGCTGCTTTATTCTTCTACTATCAGCATGAATCACTTCTGACACGTTTTTCCAACACCAAGAAAAAAATGGTGAAAAGGGAGGGAGCTCTAGCTCTGCTCTGTTGATGTGTGCTGTGTAGAGGGGGTGTGTTCTTTCCCTCCAATCAGTTCTCAGGGCTCTCCTCACTGAGCTCTGCAGAGTGTAACTTCAGTTCTCCACCCCTTTTTTTCTGCACTCTCAAGCAAGCTTTTTAAGTGTTATAATTCAGCACTGTAAACAGCTGTAGAGAAGAGAGGGCAGCAGATGGACAGGTACAACTTATGTAGGATTGTTTCATCTTTGTGTATCCCCTGAGGCCAGTCACTTCACTGGGTATATGTAAGGATTTACAACCACTTTAATGAATAAATAGTTTTCTTTGATATCTGTCTGGAGATCATCTTTAAAACGATACTAAAAACACACACTGTTTATCTTGCATTATCCCCTCTATTTCTTTATGTGGATGATGACACTGTAATTATTTTAATTAAAAAATCTAAATACCTTTTTCCTAATTGATATACAGCTGCCACATGGCCCAGCTCTCTCCCAGCCTGTCTGCTGGTCACATGTTCAAAAAAAAAAAAAACAGCTTTTGGAATACAGAGAAAAAAATAAGTAACTTCTAAACTTTCATACAAATTTATATTTGAAATCAAATCTTTAATATTTTGTGGAAATAGCATGGTGTGGGTGGTATATTTCTGCCAGTAACAGGCCGTTACACCCTTCCAACCCGTGTCTTAGAATAACAGGGAGGTGATGCCTCCATCAGTCAAGATGTAATATTGCCCCCCTCCCCATTGTGTTTAGCTGATTGGTGGGAATGGAGCAACAGGGAGGTGTGGGTGTATACACAGTGCTAAATGACAACCCCCATTTGTTACTCTATAGTCGCATGTGCTGCTCAGAATGTGATGGGCAGGAAATTCTCAGCATAGAAACTCACTGAAAACTGAGCATGTGCAGAGTTGCCACTTCAGCTCCAAAATCCCTAGCTGAATTGGGGACATGAACAGAAGGTGGAGATAGAGAACAACAGGATCAATCAAGTTTTTTGCAAAATATACAGAACAAATCTCATAGTGACTCAGTGAGTATGAACAGCATTTACTGATAGTTTTTTATGATGTGGGTTTAGTGACACTTTGGGGCTGATTTACTGAAGGCGAATAGGCTGTGCACTCCAAATGCACTTGGAAGTGCATTGAAAGTGCAGTTATTCTAGATTTGAAGGGAACATGCAAGAAAAAAAAAAGCATTTTTGCTTGCACGTGATTGGATGAAAGAAATCAGCAGAGCTTCGCCTCATTTCAGAGCTTCCCCTTATATAAAGCAATGGCACTTGCAGGGCACAGTATATTTACCTTTAGTAAATCAGCCCCAATTAATCCCTGTTTACACTAGTGCGATTTTGGATGCAAGTGCTGTGGACCAGTACAGCATGACAGCGGAAATCACATTATTTTTTTCGATGGTGTCTGTTCACATCAATGCAGCGCATTTTTGGAAAAGGCACAGGTGCTACTTTGGTGCTGGCGCAGTGTGATTTTGGCCCCATAGACTTCAATGGAAATGCATTTATGTAAAACGCATGCACATGTTTTAAAAATCCAGTCTTCTGGTGGTACATAAGAAAAAAAAATGTTTAGCTCTATTTTGGTCTTTAATTTTCTGCTCAAAAGAGTAAGGTTATACTATTCATGTATTACCCCACCTGAAATCTAGCCAGGCAGAGACCCGAGTCTGAAGATTATGCATCTTATTTCAGACCATGTAAATATTGCATAGTTGCAAATATCTGATTAAAATTTCAGCAGACATTTTCTATTCTAGTGACTTGGCGACACTGCATGCTGCAACCTAATATTAAACTGCACAGGATAAGGAATGATAATGACCAGGGTGACATGCACTCAGTATACCAAATGTAGCATTATTCAATCAATCCATGCTTCCACTGCGGGATCTGGTAATTAAATTGGACATCTAGAGGAATATCCTCTCCAGATATCCTCCCCACACATATCCTTAAAGTGAACCTTCACTTACAACTTAGATATTTACTGCTATCAAGACTAATGCCCCGTACACACGATATGAAAATCAAACTAAAAAGTTTGCGGAACCACTGATCGAACGATTTTCTCTTCGTTGATGAGCAGGATGTTTTAACCGATAACGATATTGTGAACGAAAAAATCCGGTTGAACAACAGTGAAAAATGTTGTCATTTCGCATACAAATGACCGATTTTCTATGCAGTGGTATGACGGTCGTACGAAAAAAATCTATCAAGCGCTATCACACATGAGCGGAAACAGAAGATGACCCGGATGTTTATGTACAAGGAATCTTCGTAAACACGAACGAAAAATCCAAATGTTAAAAGTAGATTGGCCTAATGAAATAATGAAACCAGAATTCTGCAGATTATATTTTATGTATCACTATTTATGTATATAGGTCATGTAATAAACGATATTATACTCATTGCTGGTAATTGTTGTGTATATCGCTCGTTCTGGCCGGAAGGACGTGGCTACAAGGTCACACGCACACCGCATCACTTCCACTTGTACGGAAGATGTCAACACTATGTATTGCCCGACGAATGATTTTTTTAGATTGGTTAATGTGGACCAAGAATTCGACCAACAAACGAACGCCTCTCGGTCATTGGATGTATTCCCACCTTTAAGTTTTCCCTCATTTCCTCCCTTCCCCGCTATATCCAAAACTAACATAAATTGCACCATAGTAGTTTGTATCCATGGGTAAATGCAGCTTGCTTTCCGCTACAATCAGCTTGCATCCATTTGAGACACATCTGAGATCCTTCCAAGGTGTTTCTGACTCCCTTAACCTCCCTGGCGGTATTCCCGAGTGTAGCTCGGGGTAAAGTTTCAGTATCACAAGCGGTAACCCCAAGCTACAGTCGGGCTTACCATGCGGCCCTGCTCCGGGATCCCTCGATCACTTACCATGTCCTGCGCTCCCGCGATGTCCCTCCTGCAGTGTCCCCGGCAATGTCCTTCAGCCGATGCCAGCATCTGTCTTCCGGGTTCCATCCCCTGCGAGCGTCGGGACGTACGGGGGGACGGAACGGCGGGAAATTTGAAAATAACAAAAAGTGACATTCACTAAAATCACATAGTAAAACATTACTGTATCAAACCATTTCACATACATTTTGTCCCGAGTGCTTTGTCCTGTGCCCTGCCTGCATTTTACTGTTCTTTCTGCCTGGAAACTGAGAAACGTCCATGGCGTCCAAAAAGCGTCCCTTTATGTCAAAAGCGGTTTTAGATCAGCTAGAGAACAGCGATAGTAAATTAGAACCACTTGCAGAACTGAGTGATAATGATTCGTGGGGAAATTCGTCATCAGATACTGAAAACGAAGCTGCGACTTTGCTCAGTGATGTGCGAACTTGGCGCTCTATTTCAAATTTCAGTGTTTTTGGTTAGATTACATTATTGAATTAAATTTATTATTATTATATTATTATTATTTTTTATGATTATTTATTAAATTATAATTTATAATTTCGTGTTTCAAGTTTTATCATACCCGGGATGTTTACTAGACTCTTGTTCGGACAGATTTCAGTGAGTTATTCCTAAAAATTACAGGCCTACAATAAAAAAAATACATATTTCCATGCAAAAAAATGTACCGCTTTGAGCACAGAAATATGGACATAATCAGACCACTAGGGAGGTTAAAAGCTTCTTTAGCCTGGGTTCACACTTGTGCGGTGCGGTATATCGCATGTGATTCGCACAGGAATCGCACTGCATTCCTGTGCAAATCACATCCAAATTCTGTGCGGTGCGATTTGAGCCATACATTTTGTATGGCTCAAATTGCACCACATCCACACCAAAAAGGTGCAGGACCCTTTTCTTGGTCCACACTAGAATCGGATCGCATGGGTATTCACACCCATGTGATCCGATTCTGCACATCGCACCGTGTTTTGTGAAATGATTTCGAGGTTCGATTATGATGCAGTGTGGAAATCACACAGAAACCGGTGCAAATTTTGCGCTTAAGCTGCTTTTTGCGTTCTTGTTTACTTGTATATCACAAAAAAGCAGTTGCATAAGAGCTAGGGGAAGAGAAATAGCAGAACACTGATTTTCCCAGTGAAAGGATATGCATGGGGGAAGGGGTATGTCAGGACAAATCTGATCATTGGAGAAGAGCAGGCTGAGTTCCCAGTATATCTAGAGAACTGACCGTGCTGTGCTGTCCTGCCTAGTGTGGTCAGTTAGTAAAAGGGAAGCAGAGGGACTGGTGGGAACACCAGGTATTTCACACAAAGGAAGCAATACAAAGAGAACAGGATACTTTATCATAGAAGTACATGGTACAGCAGGCACATATCAGGAATATGAAATGTTGGGTTTACATATTCTTTAAAAAGGCTAAAGAAGATGCCTGAGTTGCCAAATGCCTCTCTGATCCACAGCAATCTGGGGCTGAAGGTTTTTTTTGAAATCGACATACAGTATCAGTGGCTTTAGGTCTAGGAGTGAGGTAGAGGTAAAGAGGTAATTTATCAGGTTTGATAAACTGATTATCAGAAGTTATAAATTTCATGATGGCCTCTAGCGATAGGCTTGGGTTGAGACAGAACCCAGATGTTAGCTGTCATTGCTCAGCCAGTGAACAGAGGGCAGGACATTCAGTGCCACACAGCTGCATGTATACAAATGGGCAGAGGTGACATCATTGGCCTAACATGGCCAGAGGCCCAAGCCCAAACCCAAGCTAATCACTAATGGCAGAAGCCACCACAACAATTTTATTTAGTTGAAAACAAATGTACCATGCAGGGGCGGACTGACAACTCATGGGGCCCTCAGGCAATAGGGGATCATGGGGCCCCTGTGTCCTTGCCCAAACTCAAAAAAGCCTATGAAAAAGGTACCAGGGGCATCTCATGGGGCCCCCTACTGACCCCGGGCCCTCGGACAGTGCCTGAGTTTCTAAATGGTCAGTCTGCCCCTGGTACCATGTGTCCCTCCTGCAATGAGTCACATCATCAATGTTCTTTGCTGAACCAAGCGATCTTCAGGCACAGCCGCTATTCACTCTGGTGTTTTGTAAACTGCCTCCAGCTTGAAGCGCAACAGCACCCTCCCAATCATCACTGACTATTCTTAATCCTTATGCTGCTATCATTGGTAAACAGAAAGTATATCATATTTACTTGTTCTAAACTTTTTTAACATTTCTTCTTTTGCTTCGTGGTTTCCATGCCTAGGTAATTGGTATCATACATCCCAGGGGTCTTCAGGAGGAGAGGAGGGGTTTTCTCAGCTCCCTCCTGCCTGCATGCCTGAGCTAAGGGCAGATGGATTCCAGGAAGTAAATGCTACATAAATCTAATGACAATTGTATGAGAGGACTTTTCTGACTTTTGGGAAATTTCCTTACACTACCTGTTGGATCCCTTGGACAGGAAATGAAGGAAAATCACTCAAAATAGGCACAGATGGCAAAACATAACCTACCAGAGTTTTTACCCCCTCCCCCTCCCCCATTTTATCCATAAAAGGTTTGGGCTTTAACCTACAAGAATAGTCCTAACTCAAGATGGCCAAGGCCAGAAGGGGGTATTTTTCAAAGTGATTTCTCAGCACAATAAAGCATGGAGACATGGATGGATGAGGGAGTTTGCTTTGAATATTACAAATGAATTAAACAGCATTTTTGGTTTGTGGTGCTCAGAGGCAGTGATGTTCAGCTTTAAGATAGCACCATGGTGGTTCAAAACATTTCATTGTTATGGTGTGAAATTTTTGTACTAATGTTTTTCATGGAATTCAATAAAATAGCTAATTTTTGTGTGCAATCCTGAGTGTGGACAACTAATTTCTTTCAGCCAATGTCTACATGCACTTATTGGAATGCTGGGGACAATTTCAACAAAATAGGGGGCTCCTTCAAACACTGCTACCACACAATGAAACAACCCAATATTAAAGTGGCAGTAAAGTCATGATAAGGCTTCCTTCTAGGTACAGTGAATATCTCCTAAATGTACATCATTTAGTAGATATTCACATTTGTAGCAGTCAGTGGGACATGCTAACTGCGCTCTGAATGGACAGCATACTCCAGTGTGTCGTCCATTCAGAGCAGTGTGCCACAATCGACTCCCGTGTGCATGTGCAGGAGTGATGTCATTGCGGCCCAGCCATCCAAATGGCTAGAGCATGTGAACTCGGAAAGAAGACCAGGTGAAGATGGAAGATCTGTCAGCGCTGGAGGGATCCATTTCCCAGGTAAATGTATCATAATGTGCTAGTATGTGGTGCATACTAGCACATTATGACTTTAACCTGCAAGGGGACCAGTTTGTTTTTTTTATAACAAGAGACGGTACTACCACTTGAAGCACTTTGTGGAGGAAAGAAGGGTTAGGCATTTTGTGAATTTTTTTTACCACCCCCCTCCTTCCCCATTTGTCCTGGTGAACAGCAAAACAGAAACTGCAGAGCCAACATTTTTGAGTTGTCCCCAGAGCAAGAAGTAAGGATAAGTCTTAAAGTTGGGACACCGGTTCTGGTGACAGCTGTATGAGGGGACTTTTCTGACTTTTGGTAGATTTCCTTACACTACCTGTTGGATTCCTTGGACAGGAAATGAAGGAAAATCACTCAAAATAGGCACAGATGGCAAAACATAACCTACCAGAGTTTTTACCCCCCCTCCCCCATTTTATCCATAAACTAAAAGGTTTGGACTTTAACCTACAAGAAAAGTCATCAATTGACCAGGATATGGTCCAGTATTTTACTGGCCCAGCTAGTAAATGTAAGACGTGTTGACATCAGTATAAATAGTAATGAGATCATTTAAGTAATTGTAAACCTCAGACATGACTGAGGGACATGCAGAATATCGAGGCTAATACTTACCACCTAAACCTTAAAAAAACCATCCATTCAACCCTCCCCACCTAAATAACCACGCGACTCTCCTTTTGGTGTAAAACCGACCATAGCAGCTCATTTATTTAACATAACTTGTACATAACACTTCTTACAGAACAATCAAATAATAACTGCTGGTAATGATCCTAACCGGGTCCAAGGTCTTCGAAGGCACTGTTACTCACATCAATAACTCGGCTGTATCTGACACCCAATGGAAAGGCCCCCAGCCGCTACTACACTGCCTCGGGGACATACTACAGTAACGTAGTCCCAGATACAGCTAATGAACTCCCACATTACCAACATGACCTTATAATTGGGAACACCCATACCTAAGATGGGCCCAACCCATAATCTTCTTCACAACAGTTGACCCTCTCTCCTTGAAGTTCTTGATGATCCATATATGGTTGATTTAGGTGCAGTCTTAGTAGCAGCAATATCCTTGCCTGTGAATCCCTTTTTCTGCAAAGCAATGATGACTGCATGTGTTTCCTTGCAGGTAAACTAATATTTGTGGCGTTCTCAAAACTTTTGACTAGGGCTGTAGATTGAGGTACATCGAATCATTGGCACCCCAACATAAATCCGCCCGATCCTCTGAAAAAGTTGTGAGTGGAGGTGGATGAAAATCAAAACAATAGTATAATACAAAAAAAAAATCCCATATACTAAACTTTCACATTACGTGAGATCTGTATAATGGTGTATTCGTAGTAGAAATACAATGGCAAGAATTCTCTCTCACCATGTTAGGGCTGATGTTCCAATCAACTTCACAGTGAGCCATAATTGGCGGCCAAATGGTCATGTTGCAAGAACACATAGAAAAAAAGTAGGAGGTAAGAAGGGAAGGGATAAAACAAAGGGGGTAAGATTCCCCTAAAGAGAGAAGAGGAAAGAGAAAGAGTGCACCCTGTCCCACCTGCATATGGAACATCCACCCTTCCTCAGGAGGGAGTGGAAAGCTACCTAATCCAGGGATCCCAGGTTCTTTCAAAAAAGGACAACTTGTTATTTAGGAGTGCCAAGAGGCATGATCATGATCCATGACATCTTGGCCTTCAATAATTCAAATGGGACCTTGGGGGCTTTCTAGGACCGTGCAATGAAAATTCATGCCACCATGAAGATAAATGCAATTAGTCACTTCGTGTGTCTCGGTAGCCCCCTCCATTGGACTTCTCAATAAGGCCTGTTGGGGAGATTTAGTCAAATTCGCATGAGTGAGGGAGTAGATAAAGAGGCTAGTCACTTCATTGGGTATATGTAAGGATTTACAACCACTTTAAACCAGAATTTCATTTCCCAGAAAAAGTGTTAGCCTTACCTACCAGTCTAGTTTTTGCACATTACACACTACACTGGTCGGCAGCGCAGTGACACTGTATGGTTACCTTCCTAGAGTTTTTACGTCACATGTTAGTTATTGTAGTGTTTACACCACATACTCGTTATTGTGCTTTTGCGTATTTATTTTGACAGCACGGAAGACCAGACCACCTTTCCCCATCATGTGAAACCTTTGTAGAATGAGTGATCGTCCGGCGTTGACGCTATGTGTTCTAGACATGTTTGTATGTTGTAACTCTCACTACATGAGGCATTTCCTCACAAAGCTTCTGTGAAACCATTATGGCTGGCTGTAGGCTTTGTGCAGACGCCTCCTGCATGTCTCCTTCAGACATTGTAAAGGTGTTTTCCCCGAGGTCACTTAATGGGACCGTATGTATTGCTTCACAGCTGGTAAATGACACAGCAAATGAAGAAAAAATAAACAGTGTAGCTTGGATCTCCATCTGCATGATATTATCCTGTCCCGCTTCACAGGAAGTGAGCAATCATTTAGCCCTGACAGGTACACATTCTATCCACCTCTCCAATCCTGAAAGGTTTATCTATCCTCCCCAGGCAGGGCCCGCTCTAAAGTGTACCTTAAAGGGCCCAGGTCTCTATGCTAATGACATCATCATGTTGTACCCTACAAGGTTACCTTTCCACACAGAAGGCCTCCGTGTGTTATTCCTTGTGTAGAGAAGCCTCCAATGGCTTCTACTCACAGCAGAGGTCATGAAAATCCTCCTTATTCAAACATCTCCTTGCAGTAAATCAAAGTGCATTAACCCGCAGCAACAAATCTGCAATTGATCTTTTACTTACCTGACTTCAGCATAGTGGAATGTGATCACTTTCTATGATTGACTTTCTGCATTAATATTGCATTTTGCTTTATTGGATATAGTTAAAGCGACCCTGTTACCATAGTAAAAATGTTAAAGCCTAGTTAAAGTGTATTTAAAACATTTTTTTTTAAATCAGCACAAGGGATGGTATTTACATTCAATGCAAAGTGTCCCTTAAGTGCTGGCTGCTTTCTTATCTGAAATCCAAAATCCTCTACCAACCTTTCATACCCTCACTGTAATCTTTTGGAGCTGTAAGGGTGGGTTAATTTGAGCACTGGCCCTGTCAAAGGTACTTGTCAAGTGTGCCAGCTATACCCACCCTTTCCTTCTCCCCTCCTCCATTCATAGAATCCGTTCCATAGCTTCCAGCAATAAAAAAGTGCTCTATTTATGGAGGAGGTGAACCTTTTATTCATCCACCAGTCCTCCATTCATAGACTGCTTTTCTTTCATGGAAGCTATGGTACTGCTTCTATGAATGGAGGAGTGGGGCTGAAAGAGGGGGCATAGTCAGCACTCTTGACGAGTGCTTGTGACAGGTCCAGCAAGGCATTGCACCACCAATAGCAATGCATAGCACCACCACTCATAATGTCTTCTGTGCTAGTGTGAATGGGCCCTTGGAATCTTTGTTGTGATTTTTTAGGAAGGTTGGGAATGAATTACTTCACAATGCAAGCAGCTAGAGATATAAGGGAGGGGTTGTTTTTAAGTTCTTAGCGCTTACTTGTTAGGAATACATACCTCTCATCTTTAGCACTTGAGAATGAGAGAGACTTCAAGGAGACAGTGACCTGTGTCAAAAAGTGGGTGTGGTTAAATTATGGTGGCCTAGTAGGGAACAATATTTCTCAGTGCTGCTTGGCTTACAAAAAAAACT